AGCAAACCATGGACGGCACCAGTATAGTTCCGCATGCCTCCCTTTCTAGTGAGGCCTGTGTTCGGTGCAAAGAGCAAGGCAAATCTGATTTGCATCAGGCTTGAGTCATGTTATGTTTCAGTTTATGGGGATCGGGGTTGAGGGTTGTTATCTAGGGCCCGCGTAATGTAGTTGTTGCTAATCCAAGGCTTGTTTTGCCGTTGTTTGGGGCTCACTTGGGTTGAAATGCTTTCATCAGCAATGCCACTATACCCCCCCCCCCCCGCTATCATAGGATATTCTGGGGGGGGAATCCCCCCAGGAAAAAACCTTTCCTCTTATTATTTTTGGGGAGTGGGGGGGGGATCAGAAATAGGAAGAAGCGCTACATTCGGTTGTATTTGCCATCGGGTGGGAAATCTGGGGAATTCTCAGAACATTTCAGAACCTTCACAGGCTCGAGAAATTGGAGAAAACTTGGGAAGACGTGTGGTTTGTGGATTCCACATGCTACATCTTCAAATCTTCCTATTCTGCCCAAGGCAAGCCCTTTGTAGGAGGTTCTTAGGAGGTTCCTAGAAAGGTAGGAAATGAGATAGATTGAGTGTGAGGGTTTTGCTGTAGCATCCAAAAGAGACCAGACACCAGAGATCATATCATATAAGGTTCCAACACTCGCCTACCTGATAAATTTTGGCAGGATCCGTCTAGAGTCCCCAGACCCCCCCCCCAAGTAGGAAATTCTCAGACCCAGTCGGAATAGGAAAATTTCCTATCAAAACCGCCCCCACTCCCCCCCCTAGATAGCGAGGGGGTATATCCCACTGTTCGCCTCCCTCAGCCTGGAGGATGCTGTGCGGTATGCCTGCGTCATCGGTCCACACGAATTCTGACGCAAATCCGTCGAAACAAAAAAAAAAATCCGTCGAAAAGTCGGACCGAGCCGCCGCGGGAAGTCACCAACAACGATGATCCTTCCGCTGCGGACCTTTTCCAGAGCTGACGCACCGGAGCCTGAAGAGGCCCGTCATGTACGCGCCAGCTGCCGCGCTTGGCAGGTCCGGCCATGGGTTCTGTGGAGCGTCCTGACCGAAGCATGCCCGTTACACGCCTGAAGTGCCGGCCACACCATCACCGGCCGCGCATCCGAGTTGTGTGTAAACTGCGAAGCCGCCCCGATTGACTGATCTTGAATGCTGTGCCATGCTACGCCACATTGCTGTTGCAATGTCAATCATGATTCACGTCATTTTCTATGTGAGCATTTGCTCAGCTGACATGTGCCGTAGAACGCATTTTCCGGTTTTGTGTGATCCTTAATCTCTGCCCATAGACATTTTATGAAATAATCTTCTTGAAGCTACGGGTCCTCGTGACCAAGTGGAAGCGCTACCAGTCGCACAGCCGATCCTCATTGGATCATGTAAACATTCGTTTCTTTCTTTTTGTTTCACGTTGTATTCACTGACCGCTGGACGGTTGTGTGAGGACCTTTGCTGCTGCCCCGGGCAAGCCGCCGAGCAACCTCGTTGATCATGCCACCGCGCGTTCCGCTCCGTTATGCTGCTTCATTATTCGTGTGTTTACATGCCGCTGCTCCTTGTCGTGGCGGGCATGCTCCATGCGCACGCACGAGCCCAGTGGCAGGCACACCCGTCTGCTGCCCCTTTGTGGCAGGGGGCTGTCACTGCACTGTTATCACGCCTTTTCCTGTCAGTACTTCACGTGCGCGCTAGTGTCAACCATTTTTTCCCCGACCCAAGGGGGCTGACGTAGGCCGCTTGCAGCATTTCCTCGACGGGAGTTCCAAGACGACTCCTGAAGTAAAGTCGCTGGCAGCTCTCGTGCGTGCAGTAAGTGCGGGCGGGGCAGGCTGTCAAGCCCGCAATGGCGAGTGCACAGGTTGCTTGAGCGTTCGGCGGGCGGTTGTTTGCTTAATGCTCCAGGAAAAGTGCTGAGGCAGCGGGGCAAGCGAAAAACTTGGCAACAAAAGGACACCAGAGCAACACCGGCAGGGTACCCGGCTGTGATGGTGCAATAAAGATGACAGGCATGGAGGACGCCGAATGCAAAGTTCTGAACAGCAGAAGCCGCCCAGCCCAAAGCGTAGCAGGCGACCAAGCCAGGCGCGAGATGTGGCAAAGCGCATGGCAGGACGGACGAAGTCGACGAGCAAATGTTACGCACGGGTCACACACAGAAGTTGAAGGGGCGCGTGTGAGGGAAGAAACTGAGACAGGGGCAGAGCGACGGATCAGCGTCAGTCTCGTCTAGCTTTGTCTTTTTTGGCCGGCCTGTTCAGCACTTGCCGCCCCGCTTGGGCCGCTAACGCTCTGCACCAGCCGCGGCCAGTGGGGGAGGCTGTACGCGCCGCCGAGGTAGTAGCGACGGTGGCCGCAGAGGCAGAGCAGTGGGGCCGAGGGACATCGCGGGACGGTCGGGTAGGGCCCAGGCCGAATCACACTTCCGGCCGACTGCGCCACCTGCGCTCCGTCCCGCTGCGCAGAGCCCTTGGGTCCAACAGTCCAACGGTGGAGCGGCATAAATTCTGTGGCAGTGCAGCTCGCGCTGGTCACGTCGCTGGTCGAGCTGCCCGGCGTGGCCCATGACAATGCTGCCGGACTTGAACCGGCTTTGCACGACCGCAAGCTCCTAGCAGATGCCCGTGTTGGCATGAGGGGACAACTGCGGGTCGCATGCCCCGTGCCTGACGCGCTGCACCACACAGCACTGGGGGACCAGGCTTGGGGACTGTCGGCGGTAGAAAGGTGCGCAAGAAAAGCATTTTTTTAAAAAATACACATGTAACAAACGTCTGGAAATTAAAGCCGGGCAGGGGCCTTAGAGGAGGTTTCGGCCAATTTGTTTTTGGCCATTCTATGCCCAAACACAGGTCTAGCCCACTTTCCCGGCGAAACCCAGCGCTACGGTTACTCTCTGCCACGCCGGCTGAATGCCGCAGACGGGGACGGCTGGGCCCTTCGGTAAGCAACGGCCGACCCTCGGATTTGCTTGCGGGGCAGCCGGCCATGGGGTTGTTGGCCCCTCAGGCCCCACGAAATTATTTGGACAAAATCTTGGGCACAACCCTCTCCAAGGGTGTCCAACGGGTATACAATGTATGTGGCAGCCCGCGCGGACAGACGTCCGCGGAACGATGAAAGGAGAAATCCGTTCGTTCAGATTTCGGTCGGTCGGCGGGGTGAATGTGTTCTGCCGAGCTTTTTTTACATCGGTTGGTGCACCCGATGGGCCCCTTTTTTTGGTCCTAGCATTTGGAGTTCCCCGCGGTGAACTTGCACGACGATGACGTTGCTGCTGCTGCTGCTGCTGCTGCTGCTGCTGCTGCTGCTGCTGCTGCCCCTACTGCCCCTAGTGCCACCGCTACAGCTACTGGTGCTTTTACTAGTATCAGGAGTTATACTAGTACTACTACTGCTACTACTACTACTACTACTACTATTACTACTACTACTACTACTACTACTGCTACTACTACTCTACTACTACTACTACTACTATTACTACTACTACTACTACTACTACTACTATGATGACCCCTAGTACTCCTACCCGTACTACTACTACTACTGCTGCTGCTGCTGCTACTGCTACCACTACTACTACGACTTCTACTACTACTACTACTAC